CTTAAAGTTGACCGAGTGAATTATGAGATAAAAAAACAACAACAACAACAACAACAACACAGGATTGAACTACATTTAAAATTGTGAAAAACTGTTATACTTTTTGGTACAACTGTAACAAACTGGTCTTGGATGTAGGATATTGTACGAAATGATAAGTGTGTATACTGTTGATAAGCATCAATTATTTTTAAATGCGTCTTTATTGAAGATTAGTGTGTGGTGTGAAAATTATTATCGAACAATTTTTTTCGATCGATTCTGTCATTATTATTATAAAATGGATAGATTCTCATAAATGGACTAACTGAGATTCACACTTATAAATTATGATACCTTGTATATTGGTTCAAAAAGCAAAATTATTCAGTACACATTAGTTAGTGTCTGTTACTTGTGAACTTATTAACTTGTTATTCAGACCAACGTTAAAAACCTTTCTATTATATGGAGTGGAAAGTAGGCGAAATATAAAAGTCATCGTCAATGAGATATAGGTGTTTATTAACAGTTCTCTATACAAGATACTGTGCATTCATCGACCAGACACCACATCTCACAACCTACAGTTTGGGGGAGAACAGACCAGATTGCAGCTGAATAATAAGTTCGGTAAAAGCGTTGGAGGCGGATAGGACACACATTGTGGAGATCACCCAACTGTATCATGAGGTTTGCCCTAACTTGGAGCCATCAAGACCAAACGAAAAGAAAATTGAAGAAAGAGATGAAAAGAATGAATAGCATTTGGGAACAATGGAAAAAATAGAGCGCAGGATAGAGTAAGTTGGAGAATGCTTGTCTGGTGGTCTACGACGCTCCATCAGGGGTAACAGGCGTAAATACGTGAGTTAAACTTCCAAATGTTTCAGAAAAAAATCAAATCTTTTTATTGATATTTCATATGTGTATACACTACTACTCAGAATTGTTTTGTTCAGTTGAGCAGTATTTAGTGAAACTAATAATTTAATAATAAATTGTAAATCCAAAGTTTCAAATGCAGATAGTTGAATCATCATGTTATAGATGATATGTTTCATACGACGAAAATGTGTAATCATCTTCATTTTCTCCATTGATTTTTTAAAAATCTCAATTCAAATCTATTTTATAAAAATGAACAAATAATTGAGTATTCATGCATCCTTTAAACCCGACCGTAGCTGCTCAGAATCGTTTGCAATGGCGTAGGTGCATCCACTCTTTGTGTTCTATGAAATTCTAACCTTCTAAAATTCCTCATAATCTCTATCTTTCTCCTTCCAAATTTATCTCACTGAATTATACTTCTCGAATCATATCTTTGCTCCCTAATCTTCTTCATTATTACTAATAATTCAACTATCGCTATCACTCTTGGATTTGAACTGACAGTTACGTCTCTGTGTGCTGATGTGGTATGGCAACCTGAACTGATGTACTTATGTACGAAGTTCTGTGTTGTATCAGTCTGCCTATCTGTCTGCATCCTTTAAATATGCAAAAGAATGAGGAATGATATTAATAATTATTGTTTCGCTACATAACATGATACCAGTCGATTTTTTCGTAGCGATTAGTTTTGATCTACTAGTATAAACAATAATTTATAATTATTCATAAGATTAATCATAACAAGCGATGATTTAACAAGTGAAATTAATAAACGAAAAAAAGGCGGGAATCAATTTACCTCTGCTCATGAAATCTTTTGAAGTATATTTACAGCAAGCTGGTGGAATTCGAATTTTATCTGGATCACTTACGCCTGGATATTGTCGACCTTCCTTAAACCAACGTGTATGTTTATCAGTAAAATCACCATCATCAACCAATCCACAGCATTCAAGCTGAATAAGTTAGAATTACAAAATATTATTTACATATATATATATATACATCTAGTAAAAAATCATAAATTCTAACAATTTATTTGTACAACAGTCAACACAACAAACGATGATGAATTATTATGATCTTTTTCTGAATAATTATGTGACGTAATTATGCTCACTTTTAAATGCTCTTCTATATAGGGATTGGACAACTGATGATAAGAAAATTATCTAGGCTTGTGAAGTAGTTATGAACATTTCATGAGATCCCAAATAAAAATTATCAAAATAATTTTCCATGAATGATAAGTTCAACAACTTTCACAAACAAACTAACTAACTATTACAAAATTTCGAATGGTTGTGTTAAAAAAAATTTCAAATTTTACTCACTGAAATCATTATTTTATCCATAATCAATGAGTATGGAAGAAATTCCGAAACATAGAAAGCACCAAGTGTCCCACGGTATTGCATTTGGAATTGTTTTCTCATCTTATCCTCCTGATCTTTCATCCACTAAATCAATAGAAAAGAGAAAAAACACACTGTTACATCAGTAAGCAATCGTTTTAAAAAATAGTATTAATCAAATTGGATTTTTTTGCATTGAAAGGTGTTTAGTATTTCAAGTGAATCACTTTAAACAAACAGTGTTAAATCTTGATTTAATTGATTATTTATTGGTAAAACAATTATGTCTATTTGTATTGGCTGTTAATCTACATCATCATTCATAAATTAAAGGAAGATTGTGCAATTCATATAGGAACGGTTTTACTGTGGGATCGATAACCGAGGCGGTGGGGTGATAGCATACAGCATTTCAACAGTTAACAGCGAACACAAGATGATGATGATGATGATGAAGAAAATTCATTGACATTCAATTACAAACGGTAAAAGTCTTTAGACAAAAATTGAATTAGAAATAAAGTAATCATTATGGTTAATGTTCTTAGTTACGGCAGGATAATTAATAAAAACTAAGTAATTTCATGATTGTTTTAATACAAACAAATATTTATCAGTAGGAAAAGATTTGTCAGGTCATAATCGATTCATAGAAATATATTTAAACGATAAGCTTACAAATGAAGAGGAATATAAAGAAAGAAGTAGTGCTTACTAAGTCAGTCAGTCAATCAGTCAGTTACAACGTATGACTTTGTACATGCGTACATCAGTTCAGGTTGTCATACTACATTAGCACAGAGACGCATTTGTCAATTCAACTCCCATAGTGGTAGCTATAGTAGAATTATTAGCAGTCAGTAATGGAGAAGATTAGGGTTTGAAGATATTATTCAAGGAGTATGATCCAGTGAGATAAGTTTATAAAGCAGAAGATAGAGATGATGGTGAATTCAGGGAGTTAGAATTTGAGAGGACACAAAGAGTGCACCTACTCCATTGCAAACGATTTTGAGCCATGTCATTCAAGGTCTCTAATCATCGGTGGCTTTCATCTCACGGACCTCAACCAGGTAGTCTACATCTACCAACATGACTCAGTCCACTTGTCAGTGACTTCATCGATTTCTGCCATGTTTTGGTTTGGCCGCCCCTAGCTTTCTTCCAAACTATTCCTAATGTTTAACGCTATTTAGAACGATTAGATAAATGAGTATTTCAAAGAGCACATATTACTTTCTAATATTATGTAAACATTTTGTTGATTGAAAGCAATTGTTTTTGATAATCTGTCTATATTCCTAGTATGGAAAGAATAAATGGTTTTTGGAGAAAAAAACTATTTGTTTTCTTCATTTTCAGTAAAATTACAAATTAATCCTTCCTCGAGTTACAACTGTACTGATCTATTATTCATGATAATGATATAAATTGTCACGTATGAACATTTTAACATTTTCATCTAACTAAAACTTTTACTAGATCAATTGTAACGAAAACTTCTCAATCGGAGTCCTTTATACTTTAACTTTAGGAAATATTTTAACTCCTCTATACATATGTAACTTTCTATCAGTTGAATGAATAAACGATTCCCTTGTCTAAATATCCTAGTTAAGAAAGAGTTATCTTTGAGCTTGAATCGAACAAATGGAACATGAACACTCATGTGTAGAGTGTTTCCCGGTAGAGAAGAAACACATTCTCCTTAAATTCTGTTACTTGACATTCGTCGTGAAAAGTATTGTGTAACTGCTTGTGTAGATTAGAATTGTTATTTTATTGATGAATTAGTTGGTCGGTTGGTTGTGTGGTGATATTAGCGGAGAAGACATGGCAATATGCTGATGATGATGATGATGATGATGATGTTGGCAGTTGCTATTTGTGTGTGTAGCGCCTGTTATTGGGAAGCAGGGTAAGTGTTGATTGACCGACTGATATGATATGATTTGATGTGATGTGGTGTTGTGTGGGTAGGTCAGTGAATTAGTTGGTGAGCAAGATGTAGCATTTTGATGATGATAACTTGCCCTCTATGATGAGTGATTAGGCTTTATCTGAGAAAGAAGTATGCAAGCTTGAATCGAACAAGTCAAACATGAACACTCATGTGTAAGGTGTTTCCAGGTGGGGAAGTAAATGCACTCTCTTTAAATTCTGCTACTTGACCATCTCTCTGAATAATATCCTTTAAGATTGTTAATCTCTTGTGTGAATCAAATGTTTAAATAGCGTTTCAATTGTACTCTATTGATTACATTGTAGCAGTAGCAATTGACAGTAACAAGATTTGTTATTTTTAATTCCAATACATTAAATTAATCTCTTTTTCATTTAACATAAACATCAAGAATGCAGTGAATTGTTAATAAAACGAATGTTATCCTGTTAAGTCAAATGATGATGATGATGATGATGATGATGATGATGGATGATGATGATGATGATGATGATGATGATGATGATGATGATGATGAATGATGATGATGATGATGATGATGATGATGATGATGATGATGATGATGATGATGATGATGATGATGATGATGATGATGATGATGATGATGATGATGATGATGATGATGATGATGATGATGATGATGATGATGATGATGATGATGATGATGATGATGATGATGATGATGATGATGATGATGATGATGATGATGATGATGATGATGATGATGATGATGATGATGATGATGATGATGATGATGATGATGATGATGATGATGATGATGATGATGATGATGATGATGATGATGATGATGATGATGATGATGATGATGATGATGATGATGATGATGATGATGATGATGATGATGATGATGATGATGATGATGATGATGATGATGATGATGATGATGATGATGATGATGATGATGATGATGATGATGATGATGATGATGATGATGATGATGATGATGATGATGATGATGATGATGATGATGATGATGATGATGATGATGATGATGATGATGATGATGATGATGATGATGATGATGATGATGATGATGATGATGATGATGATGATGATGATGATGATGATGATGATGATGATGATGATGATGATGATGATGATGATGATGATGATGATGATGATGATGATGATGATGATGATGATGATGATGATGATGATGATGATGATGATGATGATGATGATGATGATGATGATGATGATGATGATGATGATGATGATGATGATGATGATGATGATGATGATGATGATGATGATGATGATGATGATGATGATGATGATGATGATGATGATGATGATGATGATGATGATGATGATGATGATGATGATGATGATGATGATGATGATGATGATGATGATAGAAATCACATCTTAACGCAATAACAATCCGTCATTATTTGTCATCATGATTCATACTCTGACATTCATCATTAATTTGAGTAAGTAATAATGACATCAAGAAGCACTTATTATCGAATTTCCTTAATTCTTGAATAAAATGTTTGTATGATAAACTAATCAAGTCTATATCTTTTAATATTTTTAAGTCAATATCATAGAACTACTTCGGATTCGTTGACCAGACACCATCAGCAACAATCTACTGTGGGAGAGAACAAACCAGATTCCAGTGGAGATGGAATTCAGGAAGAAGCGATGGATGATGGATGGAAGCGATGATGACAATGTTTTAATTGAAAAATAATAATAATAATCATAATTTACTATGATAATGAAAGATTTCCCATGATCTGTGAAATTTCTAAACTTTCATACTGATTGAACTATCGAATAATTCTTTCAGTATATAAGTGGATACAAAAAGAGCTTTTATTGTCGCATTCTGACTACTTAATAACAAACAGACATTATTAAATTAACATTCACACTCTATAGAAGACACAGTGAAAAAAATATTTCTTCAGTTGACTATTACGCTTTACATCAAAGATAACCTTTAGCTATTGCCAAATAGAAACATAAAGTCAAACAAAGTCAATTCGAAAAGTGTTAGACAATCGTCACTGTAGTTCCATGTCAAAATTTGTTCTGTTTCAATTGTTTTTCCGAGAATTAAATACAAAGACATCAGTTCTACCCGTTTATTCATAGTTTCGTCTCTCTCTCTCTCTCCATCTTAAGTAAGCATCCTCCTACTTATTTAAGCACTGATTAAAACATTGTAATATTTTGAATATTTATATATTGTGACATATTTAAAATCATAGCATAGGAGATTGTTTCAGTTTCCTTTTGAAAAAAAATAAACAGAAAGAAATTTAAACGTCGTTCAATAACAACTTTCAATCTGTCACACCTTTATTGTTGTAATTGTCTATTATAAGTGTAATAGTGAAATAGTTAAAAACAGTAAGTTAAATTCAAGTTAGATCAAATCGTATTCGATAGGTATAAAAGTAATTTTATGATTCAATTATGAAATATATATATATACGACAAGAATAACAAATATCAACTTTAATTTACCATATTCGTTGTACCAGCCATCGCTCCAGCAGCTCCACCTTCCAGTAGAACTAGGATAATCATCAGAACACTGAACTGAAAAGTAAATTATAATAATAAATCAGAAGTAATATTAGCAAAGTAAAAACAATGTTTCCAACAGACTAATTACTAGGGGATGATAATTTATAGAATAGAAAAGGTTGATAAGAGAATCTTAGATTTTAGGTGTGTTCACATTGTGAACATTTCGATCAAACAATTTATTAAACTCTCGATTAAAATACAAGTAAGCACTGTTCATCAGGTTGTTGATATTAAGCAACTTACTTTATAAGCAGAGATGCATAGTGCTTAACGGTGGAATCCTGGCCACACGTTTCATCCTCACTGACAATCATCAACCTCGGAGTTGAGGTTCATTCTGAGACTCCTGTATAGTAAGTACTGTTAGCTTCAGATGCCATCACAAAACCCACTTAGTCATTGAATCCAGACAGCCCTTGAGAAGATTCAGTCTAACAATATAAATAAATTGAACTTGATTGCATTACACAAACCAGTGGCTATCTGAAGTCAGTAGCTAAGGAGATGATACGATGAAGTTTGAAGAGTAAGGTACTAAGTTAAAGTCCCGCAATGAACATTAACTCTAGGAGATATGTGCACTCACTTGAAGTGTTCCAGCGAGGACGAGGCGTGCGTTATGGACTGCACTGCTGGCCACTATCCATTTCTGATTACAATGCTGGTGACCTAATGTCTATTTTGAGGCAATCCTCACAGGATGCACCTAAACCAAAGAAACTGATTGCAATCATAACTATAGATGAACTAACTATAATACTTTAAATCTTTTAGAAACGAATTTCTCATAAGATTTACCATTTTATTCAGGTAATCTCGTTGTATAAAAATTAACATTATTTATA